ATTCGGACTTTAGGCTTTGTATGAGGTTCAGGCTCGGGCTAATGTATTCTATTAATATAGAGACAAAGCCTGACTAGACCCACTCTGGCCCGTGAATAGGTTTAAGTACCGTCTACATTAAAAATCAAAGAAGATGAACAAATTAATTAAATAGAGATATTGCAACTAAGGCTCAGTTTGGAAAGAGTACAAATACAAATATGTGCAGTGCAAATACATACAAAATATAAGGTTTTGCACTCTACATATTTACATTTGTACTCCTTCCAAACTGAACCTAAAGTAAATAAGGGTCATTAATTGCTTCATTGCTTGATGTAATAATAGTAAAATATCAAGCTAACAAGCGTGAAAACATGGTTCAAATTTGAGAACAATTTACTTTGGGCCAAAGGCTAGGTTTATATTCAGTCAAACTCTCCTAAGACCCCAAATATATAACTGGGACCAATATCAAGTAATGACCATCTTTTTAGCAATTAAAGTAAATGTAGGAGGTAAGCATGGAATTCACCCAGTGGACAGAATTTCTTGGGTAACTATAATACTTTGAGATTCTGGAGTTTTTACTCAAGTAAAATTGTGGCAATACTTCTCAGCTTCACCACCTCTACTTATGTAGAATTTCAGTGGTATTTCTCTTTTCCTTTTTCCAGCTTTACATGGAATTATGTTGATTATAAGGAAACTTAGGAACTTTAGTTCTTCACATAGTAAAGGGAATATACTCTTTACCCACTTCTAGTTCTGGGGACAAATATTCCTAAACCTTAATATTCTCTTTCTGATCTTTCCAAAATACTTTCTTTTAAAGTAGAGAGAGATACAGTTCTTCCTTTTTTTTTCTCAAAATAAGGGAGAACCATGAGAATTCAGATATGATGCCTCAAGAAAGAGAGCCCTCCTATTATAGTCCAAAAGGGGGCTAAAAGAGCCTAATTGGCTAAATTCCCAAGGCAAAATGACCTTAGGTTGAAAGGCTTAAGATGCCCTCCCACCCCACAAAATTTTTTATTCTTTTACTTTCTAAAAAGGGTAAATTTTCATTAATTTATTAACACAAAAACTGTTTATTACATTACCAATTATATGCCATCCTTAAGTCTTAATGATAACAATATGACTGGTGGCATAGTCCCATTCATATTACTATTTAGTTTTATTACAATCTGCTTGAACATTATGTGATTAATGCAATCTCTATTAATGCCTAGTTGAAATCAAACAAAGAAGAAAATAGGTGGAAAACACATTAATCTCATCATCAACCAAACTGATTATAGAGGAATCAGGGATAGGGACACGAGGACCACTGGCTATATTATGAAGAGCATGCGGTTTTGATGGCACGCCTCCTATTTTTTGGAGGGATGCTGGCAGACTTGGTCCACTAGTCCAGATTTTCTTGGTCCTATTTTGGATTATAATGCAACTTAGTTGATTAGTATCATGCAAATTTTGCATTGCCAATGGGTGCAAATAATAATAAAAAAAAAGTGCAAATTTTGCATCAAGTAAATGAACAAATCATAACCATGTCTCTAGGTCCGGTTTTGGACCCTAAAATTGTCCAACCGAGCAACAGACCAGACAGTTGGACCATTTGACGTGAGAATCAGTGATCAAAACGATTTCATTTCCAATTCAGATGTTAAAACTATGATAATTCAAATAAGCAACTTGTTTATGCAATTTATTTGATGCTACTCGATCTGAGGTTTTCTTGAACCGAGGTCGTAATCAGATAGTCCTATCAACTGGGTGGAGCCGAGGTGGAAGGATGAATCCATGCTCCAAGATCTGAAACCAAGAAATTGGTCAGAGGCCTAAGGAGTTATTCTCCGAGTAGGTACTCCTCAAGAACAGTGGGCGGTCGGGCTGAGCAGTTGAGAGAATAGTGTTGGTCCAAGCAGAATAAGAGTATGGGTGCTTGAAGTCAAAAGTCCCTTACCTTGAGTGGGAATTACCTTTTTATAGTCGAAGATACATGTCCTGGTCGGATGAGACTTCCAGAGTTATCAAGATGAGGTTTGCCTACCGAGATCTTTAGAATAAGACATGATCCCTAGCGGAACTGTCCTCCTTATCCATATCGCACTCTCCTGTCTAGGTCATATTTATCCGATGACGTAATATCAACATGGCTGAAACGATAAAGCGGCCACGGAGATGACAAGTAACGCCCAAACCCAGCCCAACCATAACCCAAATAAGATGTTAATTGATGTCACCATTTGTATGCCGGGTGAGTTAGTGAGTATCCAAGAGTTGCATGAAGTCGTTGTTTAATAAAATTCTGAGAAATCATTGTTCTGGAAATAAAGAAAATCCCAGTTACCACATCTAGTTTCTTCTGTCAGAACTTGCATAATTGAAAATAGTGCCATTGAATGAAAGGATAAGGTTTTCTTCCCACGCCTAAAGCTGTTGATTGAAATTTGCATCAATCTTCACTGCACTTCTTCTATTAGAATCTTGTCATCTCATTTTGTAGGCCACAAAAGGCATTGATGCATCAACAGGAATTAAGCCACCCACAGCTCACATCCCTTGCATGAAACAGTGAATGGTGAATAGTCTTTACCACATTCTCAGTATCTGGATATTCTGGACTCTGGACTGGCCCCCTTCCTCTAAAGCTAGTTTAGTACAGCAATTACAATAGAAGGTACTTGCTTTGCTTCCATTACAATTTGCATTGATGGAACTTTCTACCCCCAACATGGTCTGAATCTGACATGGCAGTTCTATTCCCTTGGTTTGATGATGCAGCCTTTTATATTGTTCATTTGGGTCCACGTCAGACCCCTAGCTAACACACTGTCCACCCATTTAAGTCCTTTTTGTTTAAAAGGATAATTGATTATTCGTGAACATCCCTCTCCTGAATTTTCATTAGGGGTGCAATTTGGGTTGGTCCCTATTAACAGTTTACACTTTTTTAGGCTTGGGTCCATTAAAATTTTGATAAAATTTCAAACCTAACTCACTAAAATTACACCCTAATTTTCATTGGCTCCCCACTGAGCGGAGCTGGGATCTCCGACCAATAAAACATGTTCCAACGCTCTACTAATTTGATTTGACACCACACATCTCGCCATGAAATTAAGACCCACCACAAAAGTGGGACCTACAATACATGAGATGTATGGTGCCAGATGATTTTGGTAGGGTGTTGGGACTTATTTTGTTGGCAGGTGGTCCAGATTCCACTGAGTGTGCCCCACCACACATTCCAATCATTCATTGGGAACATCTACCATTTCTAATCCAAATTCCCCTCTCCTTTAGACATGGTTTATTTGTAGTGCAATTTCATTTGCACCCATATAGCATGAGAGTACAAATTATTTGATTGCAAATTCTGATCTGTTCTTGTTTCAACTTTGCTTTTGTTTATAGGTAAAAATAAAATATGAAGCAAAAAAAAAAAAAAAAAAATCCAAAGCAAAAACTTATTTGCACCGTAGCTAAATACATTAATAGTATCATAGTAGTACAAATGAAATTGCACTGGGATGTGCCCAAATCACTTTTCTGGTTTTGTTTTTCTGCGCACAGTAAATTTTTACCTTCAGGCTTCAGCCAAACGCGGTAAAATTCACAATCCTTCCGGACCTTCCCCACCATTGCTTTGTTTCAGTACAACCAAAACCATTGTACCAGAAGGAGCTAATAAATAAAATATTTCCAAAAAAGAAGAAAACGTGGATTTGTTGACTAATCAAGGGACATCAGTCTACCAACCCCAATTTTTATTTATTAATCAAAGAGACAAAGAGTACTGATTCCACGAGGGACCACCATCACGTGAGCCCTCTCTCCTGACAACCATCCGATCGGAATAAGCAGAACCGGGCCCACATCCGATGGTCGTCCTCACATGAGGATGGTCAAATAAATCATTATTTTCAGAATTTAATAAAGAAAATATACCCTACCATGACCATGTGAGTGAATCTGTGTGGGTCCAGACTCCAAACTCCAAACAGGAGATGTCGTCCCATCAGGAGAGAAACAGAACCTTTTCCCACTGTAGCGTCGCGACGGTTCAGAGTTTCATCAGTCCACCGCGTAGAATTTGGAGGAGAATCAGAAAGAAAGAAGGAGAGATTAGGGATTTTTGTTCTAAATAAAAAATATTCTTTGGAGAAGCCATTGTCAATTTGTCCTTTGGCTTACCCAAATGGCTGTGTGGTCAGATCTCAGAACTCAGACAATGGTTGGTGAGTGGTGGCTGCGCTAAGCGCCAAATCATCATCAATCTCTCGCTGTTTGGCGTTTGCGTTCTCTCTCTCTCTCCTTTCTCTCCAAATTTATACTCTTCGGACCAAATTTGAAAACAGGGCAACAAATTACGATCCGTTTGGTTCACGGGAATTGGGGTCTGGAATCGAATTCAGAATAATTGTTTGATTGGGTGGAATGGGAATCTCATTCTCATTTCTGATGGAATGGTGGTATTCTCCCATTTCCATTCCAATTCTTATACGAACCAAACAGACTGAGAATAAACAATTTTGAGGGATTTTAATTCCGATTCTGTGAACCAAACGGACCCTTAATGCTTTGAAGTGCTGGAATGGAAATGGGACCCGTACTCCGGTAAATCAAGACCATTCATTTCATTAGATATTGCTTGTGCTTTACATTATTGTCTTTGATTGAAGTTGCTGCCATTGACGCTGCCATAGTTGAGCTTGTCTTGTACTGCGGTTTGCAAGCTGAGATAATGGAGGAGGTTAGTGTCAGGCTAGCAACCGGCATTGAAATTTTGCTAAAATCCGAATCATCAAAACCATATGATGGCCCATTTTCGAGTGGCTGATTGGATAGGACTTTTCCCATACAAAGTGGGGCCTGTGGTTTATGATAGATCCCAATCTGACCGACACAAAAGTGTCCTGTACATGATGGGTTTCTCAATTGAAGCACAAAAGCATGAAACTGGGCCTCAAAAAGCCTGGAATTTGGTTGGTTAATCATGATGGACGGCCAAAAAGGCCAAACAACGCACATTCTAAGGGTTGAGAGACAAACTCCATAGTCCATATATTTGATATTTCTCATCCCTCCCAGAGAGATAGAGAGAGGGAACAGTATTACAGTAGTGTAAAGACTAAGTGATTCACCTCTGGAACTCTGAAGTTCTGACCCCTCTCTCTCTCTCTCACTCTATTAAGCGTCACTGTCGAAGACCCACCGACCGTCTATCATGGGATCGCTTCCATCCTTCCTTTGATCCTCTTCTCTTCTCAGGCTGCCACTCCTTACTCCCCGCCTCCATGATTCTCTCTGTTTCACTCTCTCTGAGACTAAAACAGCAGACCCCATAACCCTTCTCCATTGTTACTTCTTTCTTTGTTTCTCTCTGCTGGCTCGCTCTCATGGCCCGAATTACTACTCCTTTATGTCTCCTGCTATTTCTCCTGTTTATTCACAATTCCTTCCAACAGCCGCTCAGCAATGTCGATCTCGGGGCCCTTCAGACCATTAAGAACAGTCTAACGGATCTCCCTGGCTCTGATTTCTTCTCCACCTGGGACTTCAGTTCAACAGATCCCTGCAACACATTTTCCGGCATAATCTGCTCCCTGGACGACAATGTCACTCCTCCTCTGCTCCGCATCGACACTCTCACACTTGGCACCGGCCTCGCCGACTCACCCGGACTTACCGGCTCACTCACCCCTTCCCTTTCCAATCTCGACGCCTTAACCCAACTCATCCTCTACTCCGGCATTGCCTCCGGTCCCATCCCTTCCGAACTGGGCAACCTCAAAAACCTCCGAGTCATCTCCTTAACCAACAACCGCTTATCCGGTCCAATTCCCACCACCTTGGCGACTCTTCCCAACCTACACACTCTCGATCTCAGCGGCAACCAGCTCAGCGGTTCAATTCCAGCGGGCCTCGCCGGGTTAACCGAGCTCAGAGTCCTGATCCTGGCGTCCAACAGCCTCTCCGGAGAGCTGCCGGACGTGACCACTCAGCTCCTCCACCTGGACCTGAAGCAGAACAACTTCTCGGGACGGCTGCCGTCACTGCCGTCGTCCCTCCGTTACTTCTCCGTCTCCCAGAACCAGATGTGGGGCCCACTCGACGCACTGGATCCCCTCTCCGAGTTAGTGTACCTCGACCTGAGCATGAACCAGTTCAACGGCAGCATCCCAGAGTCACTGTTTCATTATAGGCTGTCATCAATGCTGCTGCAACGGAACAATTTATCAGGTGGGATACCGAGAGCAGTGTCCGTTGATGTCACATCGTACGGTGAGGGCTCGGTCGTGGACCTGAGCCATAACTTTCTGTCGGGAGAGTTATCATCAGTCCTGGCAGGTGTGGAAAGCGTGTTCTTGAATAACAACCATTTGATGGGAATCGTGCCGGAGGATTACGCAAGAAGCGTATACGAGGGCAACATGAAGACGTTGTACCTGCAGCACAACTTCTTCTCCGGCTTCCCTTTGGATTCCGGGCTGTCCTTGCCCGACTCCGTCTCATTGTGCTTGTCTTACAACTGCATGGTCCCGCCGGTGGGGCTCACAGCATGTCCCGCGAGCGCCGGCGACCAGCTTTGGAGGCCGGCGTATCAGTGCTCGGTGTACAACAACGGCACCACCGTAGAGGGTGAACCATAGAGACTGACTTCAATTGGATTGTGCGTGAGTGTTTTCACTCTTTTCTCTTTTTTTTTTTTTTACCTTTCTTTATATTTGTGGGGTTTTTGTTGTCATTTTTGCGGTGGTGGATGTTTTGGTCTTGGGTGAAGGATCTCTTTTGCTTGTTTTTTTTATTAGTTCATTCTGACCTTCTGTAAGGGAGGAAGAGTGGGAGAGTGATGATACAAAGGTAGGCACGAGGAGTGGTGTATAGTGAGTGAGTGGGGATTGTGGTTTGTTTTCAGTTTTTCCCTTCTTACTATTAACAAGCAAGCATGTTCATAAAAGGTGGAACTAAGATTGTATTTGTATGTGTTGTAATTGGAAAGGGCAAAATATATAAAGCCTTTTTTTTCTTCTTCTTCTTTCATACCATGGTTTTCAAACTGTTAGTGACTCAGACGGTCGAACCGTTCGGTCTGGAAATCATCCAAAACAACCAGTTTTATTTTATTCCCGAATTGCTTCTTACCAAAAAGAAAATTAACTTGATAAAAATTTGGGCAATCGAATCCATTCGACCAAGAGGTTTTTTATTTTTTAAATTGCAACAAAGATAATGCCAGTTTTTAAAACATTGACGAATACAGTAACCACATAGAGACAGAAAGAAAGTTTATTTTAATGTAATAATTTATTTGAGCAAAAAGGATATTCTACAAAAACAAATAACCAGAGAGAGATATGATGATTAGTTTGTTAGTGGGGGGAAGACTGAATAGTAACTTGGAACCTAGGTTTTTGGGAAAAAAAAAACTCAACTTTTACTCTTTTGATTAAAGAAAAGAAAGGCTGCAAAAGTGAACTCAAAGGTTTCTGGTATCAACACTAGTGAAGGTGATGTTTTACCAACTGAGCTAAAAATGAGGAAGAAGGAATGGCACCACCATGATCTCAATTCTCACACTTGCTGCCACCATTGCAGTCATGATCAGATATTTTTATGTTTCCATCTTTTCTTCTTTGCATTTATTAATATTTTTTTGGATTACAGTATTATATCCCTGTCCATACCACTTACCACTGAGAGCCTACAGTTTTGTGGGTTTGATCTTTTGAAGGGGTGACCAATGTCATTTTGAGAATGAATTCTGATATGCTGAACATAAAATGTTGATTACATCTTATGCACAATACACGGCAGCATACATTGGGAGCATAACATTTTGGGGGTGTTCTTTTTTTGGATTTTGAGAGGGGGAAAGTTAGTCAATGGAATTTTAGTTCTCATTGACCAAGAATCTCATGTTCTTTTTCCAGATTAATATGGGGATCAGGGAAAGTTTATTTTCCTGGGTATCACTTACCAGGGCAAGTGATATCTATCTCCTAAGTGGATAAATAACTTTCCCACAAGGGGAAAAGTTTCCAACACTTGAATGAAACAAAAATGCTCCTTTTAATAATGGATTCTTATGGTTAAAATGGTCATTTCATTTTTTACTTGGGAAATAAAAAAAACATGGTAAACGCATTTACCTAGGTAAGTGTTTTCCAAGAAAAACTTACCCAAGTAATTGCATTTACCCGGATAAGTAACTTACTGAAAAACAAAAGGGCCCTTTGTGATAAACAACTTGGTGAGGGGGTGTGGTTAGGGATGTCAATAGATTGGGTTTAGTATGGGTGTGGCTTTACCATAAAACTGAACCTCCAATATTTCCACCCAACCCAACTAAATAACATGCAGTTTTTGGATAGAGGTGCATGCAACTTGGGTGGGCTGAAGTTGGGTTTTTGTCAAAATTTGACAAACTAAAGTTTCACCCCTAGTTTCAGAACCCATTCCAACTCTATAATAAGGTTCAACTCTATATCATGACCCATCAAGGTGGGTAGGGCTGTTCACGGGTCGGATTGGGTCGGTTTACTGAGGTTTTTCCAACCGACCGACTTGGTCGGGTTACCTGAACTTGAAACCGAAACCGACCCAGTGTTAAGCAAAACTGACCTGGTCGGTTTGAGTCGGGTTGGGTCTGTTTGGGTCGGTTTCGGTTCTAAGTTCAACCATGCTTGACAGAAACCCAACTACAATATATGTGGGGGCTGTAACACCACAGTATGTGAGGTAGTGAATGCGGGAAAAGCCTTGTTTTTGATAAACAAGATATATGTCTAGTCCACAGTTTGGACTTTGGAGAGGAGAAGAAGAGCAAAACCCATATATAATAACAGTAGGAACTAACTACTAACTAGGAAGTAGGAACTAACTACTAACTACTAAGTCGGTTCGATTCGGATTGGTTTCGATTTTCTTGTGTGAAAACTGAAACCAACCCGAACCATCAATTTATGATGTTTTACAACCCGAAACCAACCGGTGCTGAAGATAACCCGACCGACTCAGGTTGGGTCAATCCGAATTGGTCGGTTTGATCAGGTTGGGCCTTATTATGAACAGCCCTAAAGGTAGGCCAACAAGTCCAACCCAAATCCAATTCGAATTAAAGAAACAAAACTGTAACCAAACCTTATACTTGAATAAAACGAACCCTAACTTATCCCTTTTAGTGTCGGGTCAATCCAAGCTTACCATTTAACCCGACCCATTGCCATAGGCACGATCCACATGGAAGATGGAATATGTGGGGTTAGGCAATTGGCAAGACCTTAATTAACTGATATTTTTGTTTCATATTCTCCATTCCCATATCATGATCAAGAAGTTAGAAGAATACGGAGCAATATCTCACTGTTAGAATATGTATTAGATGTTATCAAGTCAAATACATGATTAGATTCCACAGAAAAATAAACAATAAACAATAAGTAGTAGAAGCTAAGGGATGGTATCTAAATAAGATACATGCCTATGGGCAATTATTAGTTCCGATTCCCAAATGCGGGTGGGTGGTTGATCACGGGCTGGGCTTAGCACCTATTTTTAATGTCTCGAATGGGTCTGGGGTCGGCATAGACTGGACCCCAGGCTGGCGTGTAAGCCCAACCCAGCGAGGCCTGGCCTGGTTCCGTGTTTATGATTTAAAATATGTTGTAAGAACAAAGAGATGAAAAGACATTTGCTGCCTGTTCACGAGCTGGGCTTTGGGCCCAAATTTTCACTGTCTCGGGCTTGGGTTTTGGGCCGGGCCCATTAAAATTTTGACAAAAGTCAAGCCTGAACTCGGCCCATGAACAGGATTTCATCAATGATGCGTCTGAGGAGAAATAGATATATATACAACTGCAAACGGATGAGATCCAAGGTAAAGGGTATATCTGATCTGTTCATCTGAATCCAATTATAATATTTCATAACTATTGAATGAATCGAATTGGGGTATATTCAAATTTGATCTATTAACTAAATGAATTGATTTTTTTTATTGAATATGATTTGTTAGGATCAACAGAAGTATCCAAATCCGCCTCTAATAAAATTTAATTTGGATCCAACTTGGATCTGACACCATTTGTTTCTAGCCCTAAATATACACAACTTTATCCTTGTGCAAATGGAGAGACTGTTTTTAAGATTTGAACCTTGGTCACAATAGAGCAACCCAACTATTGTGTCAAGGCCCACCCTCATTATTTTTAGTACTAGTGGGGACCTGTGCTATGCACAATTTTATTACGCGAAAGCTAAACAATAGAAATACATAAGATTGATGAAGGAAGATTTGGCCCGACCACATAACCAATCAACACGTGGCAAAGGCAACAGCTCGGCACAACAGCACGCCAAGGCGTGAGCTCCAAAAGGAGGAACCAGCGGTCCGAACTCCCTGCAAGAAGCCCGAACTCCCCATAAGGAACCCGAGCTCTCCCTTAGGCCTCGAGCCTTACGAACACAAAGGGCAACAACCTGAACTGGCCTGCCCCAGGGCAGTTCGGGCCACACCTCTATCCGAACTCAAGACTTAACCTCGCACACCACTCCAGCACTTCGCCTCTAGGGCGCCGAACTAAACAAACCACACCGTACCTGACACCGAAGAAGTCTGTATCCAAGGGCGGCGCACCTGACTGACTTGGGATTTGACCCTTGACAACCACACTTCAACGGCCACTTGCCACCACCACCTGCCACCGCCATCTCCAGTTACAGAGACGGCTCCGACAAAGAGAGCAGTGGTGGTTCTGCCCCAGCAGGGGTGATGACACCCGAATTGGCAGAAGCACAGAAGTAATCATACCCGACCTGATAGAAGCTTAGGAGTGAGTGCGCGAAGTGGTTATAAAAGGCTCTCTACCCCCCAAGAACAAGGTATGTGAACTTTGTGCCATCTGGTTTTATCTTG